AAATGGTCACTGAACTACAAGAAATGGATTGTTGCGTGGCAATTGGGTTTGGTTCACCAACATGGATTATCAGCCATCATTAAAGCTTCCATACTGAGGATGAATCTGAAGGTTGCATACAGTCTGAACCATGCTCTTTATCATAAAAGGTAACATTCTAGCCTTGTTCACACATCTTAAGCACATCTCACCTGAGGAACTTTGTAGATACACAGGACAGTTGCCATGTGGAGACAGATGTCAGGTCCCCCAATGACTGTAGCCAGATGTTTTGGAACCCCACACTTGTAGTTAGGGACGAATTTGATCTGGGTGAAGAGAAGCTGCATTGAGGCAAAGTAAGTCCATCCTGGACTGAAATTGCTATTATAAATCTGGAAGCCCAGGGTGACATTGGGTAGGATCTGGGTATTTTCACTGATCTCCTTGAGAGCAAATTCTAAGGCAAGGATGTGCTGGTAATTATGAAACAATACTCTGTAACAAAAATTACATAATACATTAAAAAGGTCTGCTTCAGAATATGGCATTTTCAATCTTTCAGTACTATAATATTTTAATATTATTTAGTGCAAATAGTAAATATTAGTGCAAAGTATTTACTGTTTGACTAGGATCCTGGAAAATGCAAAAAACAAAAAAACTGTATAGTTTTTGCTACAATGGACTGTGAGCTGTTTATTGCATTGCACACGGAACGCCACAACGCACTACCTCGTCACGTAGCACATATATACCACTCCAGAACCTGGAGTTACTTTTAATGCAAGACAGGCACTGGCTTGAAACTGGAAGCATTATTTCTTAATACATGAGAAAGGCCCAGTATCCAACCCCAGCTTTTAAGAATGGCTTATATCCAGAAGAAAATAGCTGAATTTTGGTTCCAGAAATATCAAATGAAAAAAAGTTATCATGGATAACATAGGCCCCCAGATTTTTGTGTAGTTATATCTTCATAAATTAATCCTTACCTACATCTATATTTATGAATAATTAGATGTGATTTGTTATAATGGAGATTAGGCCTTTTTTTTCAACTTCACATGGAAACTGAAATTTGAAAATAAACCTAGGCATCCTATTTAAGATGTTTGTTTCTTGAGCTTTCGTTATTACATTAAACCATTTCAAGCATCATGTGATTTAACAGAAAGGTCCAGAGCTTCAAAATAAATTGATGATGTACTCACACAAGTCCTTCTTGAAGTCCCTGAGATTGATGTTGACTGAAATCAGTGGGATCAGAATATGTTGAGAATACAGAAATAATACCAGCAATGCTAACTTCTCCATGGTGATGATATGTGTGATGAATAGGAAGAGGCTCATCAAGGTCACATTGAAGGCTGGGATCCTTACACACCACTTGAGGCATTAATATCAACAATGACTCCATGAATACTAACATCTTCCATGAATCTCTTCTTTCTGTATACAAATGCTCCTGTCTGCAACATGATCTTTGAATGTCTCCAAGTAAATCGGACTGACTTGACTTCTTCAGGTGTTTTTCAGATAGAAACAGAGAGCGCAACATACTATCGAATCAACTCACAGAGCTTTGGGGCTTCCAGCCATGGGGTGCTATTTCATGGGGAATATTAATAGCAACTTTCAGAGTCAACTCATTGTTTTACCTTGGAATCCCATAGGATTTGGAAGAGACAAACTGGCTAATGTCATAATGATAAAGGTAAAGGTTTTCAAAACATGTGTGGGGCTCCTGAGGCAGGAAGGCGTGAGCCACAAGACAAACAATGAAAATAGTTATATCCATAAATTGAGATATAAATCTATGTCAATATATGCATGGGTATAGGCATTGATACAGATAGATGCTATAGATAGATTTTATTATTTTATTTTATTTTATTTTATTTTATTTTATTTATTTTGATGCCTTTGAGCCACTGATGACTCCTGGTGCCTCCCTGCATGAGTCCCTACAGTTTTCTTGGCAAGCTTTTGGAAGGGTTTTGCCTTCTTCCTAGGGATGAGAGAGAGTGGCTAGACCAAGGTCCCTGAGCTGCCTTGTACATTAGGCACAACATGAACTCATGATCTCAAAAGGCAGAGTCGTAATCAACCCACAACTGAGATACAGCCACAGAAGTGTTTGAGCAACAGAACGGGGCACTCAGAGAAAGTATCTCAGAATTTCGAACATACAGCTTTTAAGGCACAGGTGTCTTTGTAACCGCAACACTGTGCAGAACAAAACATATAGCACTTTGACTTTAAACATTCTAATTGTGCCAGGAATATACAGTATTTGTTCCCCTTATGGGTTAAATATCTAATGATTGGGTCAGAGGCTGTTCGGGCGCTCAAAGAAGTGTTTGAGGAGTGAAGCCTCAAAGAAGATGACTGGAAATAGATGCCAAGATATTTGAAAGGCTAGGCCTGCTCAATTTGGTAGTTCTGGATCTTCCAGATTGGGGGGGAGGGGGGTTACTACACTGCTTGGTTTTTGCCTGGTTGAATTCTACTGTCTCATAGTGGCAGTAGGATCCTAATGCATGAAGGCTGCATTGGGAAACCAAAGACAGCATTGTCAGCATATAGCAGAGTCAGGATTGGTCTCCTAGCCACAGAATGGAGGAGAAATTCAGCTTCAATAATTGCTTGAACCATATTGCTAATGCAACAATTAAATAATAGAAGGGCCAGAATACATCTCCATTTAACTCCCTTAGAAGTGGGATAGGGTCAGTCAGTTCTCCACTAATCGAGCACTGGACCTGTGTTGTAGTCTCTTCAGAGACCATCCTAACTAGTTGTAGGAGCCGGTGGTCAATGAAGGAAGCAATTAGTTTTTGGCACCTCTCACAGGGCGTTGACTCAAATGCCACGTTCAAGCTCTATGAAAACAGCATAGAGAGCACCTCCAGGAGGGTTAATATACTTTGCAGAGAGGTGGTGCAGAGTGATGCACTGATCCGCAGTAGAAAAACCTGACCTTAACCCAGCTTGCTCCATTGCTAAGGTTCTTTCTTGGACCATCCGATCATCAAGCTAATAAAAAGATGTTTAGCATATAATTTACTAATTATTGGTACACTGATAGGACGGTAGTTAGCTGGATTACAGCTGGGTTGGATTTATCTCCTTTTTTTGGCAATATAATAGAATTGGTCCATTCCTTGGGGATTTGCAGTGAGCATTTAATATTAGTGAATAAGGGGACCAAAACAGTAGCCCACCAATCAGGGTTGTGTTTCAGCATTTGTGGGATCATCAATTCCCCTCCAGAAATATCACCGCTCCTTTCCTTTCCTTTCCTTTCCTTTCCTTTCCTTTCCTTTCCTTTCCTTTCCTTTCCTTTCCTTTCCTTTCCTTTCC